TATATTACTGTCACACCATTTCTTTATCTTCTCAAGCTCCTGTGAAACCCGTCCAGAGAGTTGCTGTAGGTTTTTACCCGATGCCCATATGGTAGTGTCATCAGCAAACAAAACCACTTTCACAAAATCAGAAACCTTGCATATATCATTAATATATAGTATAAATAATTTAGGTCCCAAAACAGAACCCTGAGGCACTCCACATACCATGTCCAGCTCACTCGATTGGTATTCACCCAACTTCACAAATTAACACCTCTGTGTCAAATAACTTCTAATCCAATTCAAAACCAATCCTTTGATCCCATATTTTTCTAACTTATCCATTAATAACTCATGATTGATTGTGTCAAATACTTTTTTAGGTCAATAAATATTCCCATCGTGTATTTCCTCTCATAGTAGAACTTAAAAAAAATCTGCTAACCATTTTAAATCTCGCTGCCCCATAAAACGATTTATCATTTGTTCCTCAACTTGGGACTGTTTTTCCTATAATGACACTGTTCGTTGCTATTTTTGTACAAACTGTGCAAACTTGTCAAATTCCAGTAAGAAACCTTCAGTATAAAACATGTCCAACATAGCTTCACACCTGGTTTACAGCAGGTTTTTTTCATGAGTTTGTGATTGCATACACAACTGTCCTCCACAAGTTTTCCCATGACTTTTGCCACCCCTACCCCTAAACAGAAGAACAACAATATCAAGGCATTGACAGGAACACAGGCAGTATATGACTAATGTCATTTGCACTTTGTATTTGGTAGTTTACATTAGAGAAACATCTGTCCCTTTGGAGGACCCCGACCTCTTGGTTGGGAACCACTGGGCTAAAGTACCTAACCAAATATTTAAAAAGTTGAAACTAGCTCAACTTCTACCAGTAAAATATTACTTACAGACTGATGCATCAGTATTAATAGTCACAGGACCATTCTTTCTGCTGAACGTGTACTTTTACTTTCAATACTTAAATACATTTTCACTTCTAATATTTCTAAGTAAGGTTTTAGATGTAGGACTTTTCCCTATAATGGTGTATTTTTTATTTTGTGGTATCGTATTTACTTAACTAAAGCATTTGAGCATATCTTCTATCTGCTGAAACTTTTTTTTGGTCATGTGCAACTGACCTCCCCCCCCCAGTACCAGCTTGAGAACAAGTGAAATGTTTCAACAAACATAAAAAACTAAAATTAATCAGTTAGCAAAGCCTCCTTCTAGTCATCAATAGTGACTTTGTGATTTTTTTTTTTTCCTTTCTACAATTGGTCTCATGGACAACGTTTAGAGTAATTTTATTGTGGACAAACTGAATTTAAAAATTCTGCCATCCCACTACTGCTGTAGTTTACATTTGTGTTACTTTAATGTAACTGGAGTTTAGTAGCCAAAGTTGGCTACTAAGACACTAAGCTGGATGAAAACAATAATGTTATGATACCAGACAACGGTAATTATTTCTAGAAAGGCTTAAGACATTTATAACAGTCCATAACCATAGTGAACTTCATGTTATGTTTATGAAACCAAAACAAAACAAGCATTTCCCAGAAGTCTAGCAAATATATTTGACTAGTCAGCACCTCTGCATTTTAAGACCATGCTTTAACTACTACAAGAAGTATCAAAGCTTTACTTACCTTTACAAATGGATGAGATTACAACCAGTATAAATAGGACCAGAAAGGGATACATTTGTTTTATCCGATTACCAGACCTCAAAGAAGTCACCTGTTCAGACACATTCAGAGTGGTCAGATCTCCAGGTCCGTTGTACAAGGGTATTAAAGTCTGTCACAGCAGACTGTACCCTACATCGCACTGCATTTCCCCCACTATCTCTGTGCCCTAGCCATCAAGTAACAGGAACTGAAGCAAACTCTGAAATAAACGGGAGGTATTACCCAACTGGAGATGCAGTGAGCCAAGAGGAAGTGAACTAACTTGTCGACCGCCTCTAAAACTTTGACATTTCTGTCTGTTTATTCCCTGAGCAACGTGAGAGAAGCGTGTTAAGATAATAAACCTTTCCACTTCATGCTCAGCTATGACTCACACACATCACTGCCAGACAGCAAGTCATTAGAGCCTGGTGCATATCTGGCTGCATCATATCTAGGACTGCAGCAAGTGATCCACAAAAGAGAAACTGTAATGTAAAAGTAGTCTACATTTCAAAAGAAAAGGCACAAACCTTACTATCAAAGAGCTTATACACAGCAGAAATTTGTCACCCAGCTATTCTAATAAAGTACAGAAGTTATGGCTATAGCCTACTATTGTGCTGATCATGCCTGCAATGATTAGTCAATTAATCGACAGTTGAACAACAGAAGATTATCAGGCTACTTGGAAAACATCCGGTTTCAGCTTCTTATACTGTATGTGAGTGTTTTATGCTTTTCTCTGACATATACAATAGTAAATTGGTTTTGTTGTTGGTTTTGTATTTTCTAGTCAGACAAAACAAGCCATCTGAAGGAAACTGCAACAAGCATTTTTCTGTATTTTCAGGCATTACACCGTAGATGACTGTCTGAGTAAGGCAAAAAATTATCTGCACCTTAATCAAGAATGAAAATAATTATTAGTTGCAGCCTTACACACAGCCAAAAGTGGATTAAGTAATCCATCAAAGATGTCACCTGTCAGGGGTCTATGGAGCAGTTAGTTATACTGGGCTCTGGATAGACAGATGGACTGCTCCACAGATTTACCAAGCTTACTTTCCAATGACTCTTTTGTGTTCATATACCTCCACCTACTGGTCAATGCATGCAATTTTACAAAGGGGAAACAAGGAGGTAAAAAGTAATCATTTTAGTATTATCCATAAGCTCGTTAAACGTAGAAGCTATACTAAGCCGAACAGCCCCGTTAGGTCACCTCGTTAAAAATAGAAACAGGTATAATATCTTCCCTTCGTAGAAACTGTTTAAACAGGTTTAGCATTAGAATTATTACATCATGTAATATGGTTCGGTTCTAAAATAACCCGGAAGTAGCTAACCTTGCTGAGTGCTGCTTGCTAGCATTAGCTACATTACAGCTCTGCGACCACTGAACTAAATTGAGCTGTTTATTTTCAGTCCTTAGGTTTGTTTTAAAAATAAAGATATCATAATATACAATACCCTACAAAATATAACGTAATGCTGTTAAATTTGTGTAGTAAGTATTTCCGGGTTAACTGTAACCTGTACACATTCAATGCAATGATCTTGTCCCTGTTAAACTGTCTCCGCTCGCCGTTTTTATGTTTGCTGCTGTGCTAATTGCTTCGCTTGTCGGCGGCGGGGTTCTGTTCCTCATGCGCAGTTTGTTTCCCCAACCGAAAGTCATGAGTCTTCTTCGATATCCAGCCGACGCTATGAAAGGAAAGACCGTCATCGTGACCGGGGCCAACAGCGGTATAGGGAAGGCGCTGGCCGGGGAGCTGCTGAAGCTCCATGCCCGGGTCATCATGGCCTGTCGGGATCAGCGAAGCGCCGAGGAAGCAGCTCAGGACATCAGGAAACAAGCTGCACCAGAACAGGGGGAGGTGGCCATCAAACATCTGGACCTCGCTTCTCTTAGATCAGTCCGAAAATTTTGCGCTGGGTCTGTCTATAAATAATGAATTAATACTTTATTAAGGCATATGACAGTTATACATAAGTAAATAGAATGGAAACAAAGGACTATAACATAAAATAAAGAACATAAAAACAAGAACAACATCGAAGCAGACAATGTGAACATGAAACTTACAGGCCAGGGGGTGACTTAAAGGGTTAAGTTAAGTAAAAACATTCAGGGAAGTACATATATTACAAATTTTGGTAGCTTTTTTGTTTTCACTCTTCAGGATGGAGGAGAAATAATTTTTAATTTCGCATAACAGGGCAGGAAGATCTAGTTCTAACCTGTTTAGCTGTAGGGGGCTGTCCGTGGTCCTGAATCCACAGGTATGGGACACGTTAAAGTCAGGGTGCAGAAATGGCCCATTTCTGTGTGAATGTTTTAAGATACTGCGGAACAGGCGTGCAAGACCTTTTTCAGTCAGTTCCTCCAAATTTCCAGATATTCAGAAGTCACAGTGCTCCTATTAATCTTTCTTCGAAATATCACATTCTTCATTGTAACATGAGCTAGCCTTTTTTGTTACCTTCTATGACCACTGGGTGTCTCTGGGTGTTTCTCAAGGACCGAGTGTTTTGTACTTTGGGCAACCACAAGGTCCTAAATTCAGTAATTAGTGCTTTGATAAAGGCGTAAGACAAATGTATGTTGTTTGTTAAAAGTGGCTAAACAGAGAGATCAAGATTTAATTGAATTATAAATCCACAAGTTAATTATAATTTGACTAAAGCTTTCTCTACTTTTATGTGTATATTGCCTGGAGTAGCTTTAGATTAAACAAAGGAAAATTGCAAAAGGGAAGTTCTTTACATCTCAAAAGTATTTTAGTTCATCTTTGCTGCAAACTTTTGAATCTTAAAGTTTTAAATTTGTCTGACCCATTAGGAGGAATCGAGGATTGACGTGCTCATCAACAATGCCGGGATCTATCAG